GCTGTGGCTCAAGTGGTAGAACGCTAGCCTTGAGTTGAAGAGCTGAGGGACAGCGCCCAGGCCCAGAGTTCAGGCCCCACAACCGGACCCAAAAAAAAAAAAGTCTCATGGACTTTCCTGCCAGGGCTGGCTTTGAACTGTGATCCTCAGATCTCAACCTCTTGAATAGGTAGGATTACAGGTGTGAGCCACGGGCACCCGGCCCATGGGACTCTTATCTGCAATAAACTACTCAGAAAAAGCTGGAAGTGGCACTGTGGCTCAAAATGGTAGAGTGCTATCTTTGAACAAAAGCTCAGGGACAGCCCAGATCCTGAGTTCAAGCCCCAGGACTGGCACAAAAAAAACACCACAGAACACAGCCGTGCTCAGTATGGTACCCAGCTCAGTGAGTGTTCTCCGTATACTTACGGTGGGGCAGTGATGGATAGTAGGTTGTATGAATGTGTGAGTGTGTTTGAGCTAGGCCAGGTTGAAGGACTAAGGCTGGGCTGTTGGGTGTAAGCAGGGCATACATCAGCATTTGTCTGTCTGTGTGGTGTCCTTATGTGCATGAGTCTGGCTGTACAATTTGGCATCTATAGTCATATTTGTGCATGCAGCACTATTTCAGTATCTTTTTTTTTTTTTTGTCAGTTATGGGGCCTGAACTCTGGGCCTGGGCACAGTCCCTGAGCTCTTCAGCTCAAGGCTAGCACCCAACTACTTGAGCCATAGTGCCACTTCCGGCTTTTTCTGCTTTTTTTTCTGTGGTGCAGAGAAATTGAACCCAGGGCCTCAGGCATGTGAGGCAAGCATTCTACCACTGAACTACCTTCCCAGCCCCCTTGTTCAGTATCTTATAAACAAGGAGATGTCTGTGAATGAACACTCATAAGTATGCATTTTTTGCCTGTTTGCATTGATTCAACCTCTATTACTGGACACCTACTGAGATCCAGGTTGTTTTAGGCACCAGGGATCCAGTGTTGAATAAAATGGACAGTGATACCTGACCTCACAGGACTCAAAGCCTACAGGATGATACAGTAAAGCCACAGGTGATTAAATAGAAGTGCTTCAGAGAAAAAAAAAGACAGGGGCCAGGTGCCTATGGCTCATGCCTGTAATCCGAGCTACTCAAGAGGCTGAGATCTGAGGATCATGGTTTAATGCCAGCCTGGGCAAGAAAGTCCCCGTGAGGCTATCTCCAATAAACCACTCAAACACGGGAAGTGGTGCTGTGGCTCAAAGTAGTAGAGCACTAGCCTTGAGCAAAAGGGACAATGCCTAGGCCCCAAATTCAAGCCCCATAACCACCACTTAAAAAAAAAGGCAGGGGCTGGGAAGGTGGCTCAGTGGTAGAGCACTTGCCTTGCATGCATGAGGCCCTGGGTTCAATTCCTCAGCACCACATAAACAGAAAAAGGCGGAAGTGGCGCTGTGGCTCAAGTGGTAGAGTGCTAGCCTTGAGCTGAAGAGCTGAGGGACAGCGTTCAGGCCCAAAGCTCAAGTCCCACAACCGACCAAAAAAAAAAAAGACAAAGAAGGGGGCTAAAAAGTGGGCAGTTCCCCCCTTTATAAATAGGGGGACCAAGGAAGGTATGACACCCAAGCAGACATCTGAGTAAAGACCTGAGCTGAGAGGCAGTGGCTGGTTCTGTGGGAAGCAGATGAGAGAGCATGTGCACAGGCTGGGAGGTATGCCTGTGCTTGGGGCCTTGAGGAACCTTCTGGAAGCGGGTGTAGCTGGTGTGGGAGGCAGAGAGAAGCTATGAGTGAGACTCATCAGGGGGCCATACAATGATACCTCTGGAGCACTGGAAGGTTCTGAGCACAATGAGTGAAGTGTGAAAGGGGATTTTTTTTTTGTCAGTGTGGGACTTGAATTCAGGACCTGAACACTGTCCCTGAGCCTCTTTGTGGTCAAGGCTAGTGCTTTACCACTTGAGCCATAGCGTCACTTCTAGCTTTTGAGTGGTTCATTGGAGATAAGAGTCTCATGGAGTTTTTCTGCCTGGGCTGGCTTCAAACTGTGATCCTCACATCTCAGCCTTCTGAGTAGCTAGGAGGACAGGTGTGAACACTGGCATCCAGCTTGAAAGGGAATTTTTTAAGTGTCTGGGTATGGCGGGTATCTTGGGTGTGACTGAAGTGTGTGTGTGTGTGTGTGTGTGTGTGTGTGTGCTTACCGCGGGGCCCGGGTAGGTGCTGGCTTCACAGTTCTCCCTCCAGGACATGTTGAGGCTGCGCACAAACTCAGGGTAGAAGGGGTGGGAAGTGTTAAACATGGAGAAGCCCAGGATGTTGGAAGAGTCCTCCACGATACCATCCAGATGCAGGATGGGGAAGTCCTGGAACAGGGAAGAGGAGACCATGAAGAGTAGGGCCAGGCTCCAGGTGGCACAGCCATGGTGAACAGGAGCTGGGGGCTGAAGGGAGTACTCACCATGGTGGTGAGGATATACTTGTAAAATGCTGAGGTCATTCCCAGCTCCGAGGCCTGGAGAGAAACAGAAGAGGCCGAGAGGCGGGGTGAGAGAGGCAAAGACCCATAGGCAGGGATGAGGGGCACTCCAAGAAAAGCAGAGAGGTTTAGAGGCAGGCATGGTGAGACATGGAGCTGAGAGAGGATGGAGGGAGACTTTGCTCTCTTAGGTCCTAGCAAACTGACTATTGCTGTATGGGAAGCAGAGATGGGGTTGGAGGGAAGAATGTGGGCCCCTCAAATGCCTACTGCTCCTGATGACAGACTTCCTTCTGGAGACAGGACAGATAGAGACAGGAACAATGAGCTCCAACTCCTCCCCAAAGCCACTGGGGTGGTAAGGAGGGTCAGAGAAAAGCACTCCGCCATGAAAGAGCCAATTCAACTAGTAAGGTACATGCTTTGAGACCCCTTTCTTAACAACCCTCAAGGAAAAGTAGGCTAGAAGATCCCTCCCTACCTGGAGCACACAATCCCGACCTCCCACAGGGCTCAGACTGAATTTCTAAGGGACAGGATTTGGGCTGTGGGAAGGACAGGCTAGACAAGGAAAGAGACCACAGGCACACAGATTCATCAGAGGGACCAGGGGTCCCAGGGCCAGTCTGTCCTGTGATCTGGAAGGCTCTTCCCTAAGCCAATCTACATTCTCAGAGCCTCTTCACCCTTCCTCCTGCGGGCTTTGATCCCTAGTGACATGTGATTTTAACTTAAAATAAAAACTAAAAAAAAAAAAAAAATTAAGCTAGTCGCTGGTGGCTCACACCTGTAATCCTAGCTACTCCAAAGGCTGAGATCTGAGGATCATGGTTCAAAGCCAGCCCGGAGAAGCAAGGTCCATGGGACTCTTCTCTCCAATTAACTACATAAAGCTGGAAGTGGAGTTTTGCCTCAAGTGGTAGAACACCAGCCTTGAGCACAAAAATCTCAGGGACAGTGTCCAGGCCCCAAGTTCGAGGCCCAGGACTGGCACATTAAACAACAACAACAAGAAAAACCTTATTATTATTTGCTACATATAAGAAGTAGGTCCCCACTGCTCTCTCTGAGGTTCTTGGACATTAGATAACTTGCTCATAGCGGCTCAGCTTTCTGCATCTTGGCTCTTTAGAGATGGATGGGAGAAGGGACCCACCTTTCGGAGGACAAGGTGGGAGATGGATGCGTTGGCATCGATGATGATGGTGGACACTTTGTCATCTCGGATCTCCTTGAGCAGTGGTGTGGGGTCTCGGCTGTCGTCCAGCATTCTCACTGACAGTGTTTCCTTGGAGATAAGGAAACCACGCACCAGTTCCTCCAATCGCAGTAGGCCTACAGGAAGGTGAAGCCTCAGGTTAGAGCCCTTCCTTCTGAGTGCCCGGGCACAGGGTGACATACCATCTTCTTTGCTGGGCAGGGGACCTGCAGGTATGCTATGATGAGGAGGTGGCAGTCCTAGATGCTGCTGGAGCTCTTGAGACATGGGTCTTGTAAACCCAATCCTGGAACCTCTCCACCCACCCCTGCCTGATCAGTGGGATGTCTGATGTTGTATTTAACATGTCTGATCTTTTTTTGTTTTTTAGTTCCAATACTGGGGTTTCAACCTTGTGCTTCTTTTTTTTTTTGGTCATGGGGCTTAACTCTGGGCCTGGGTGCTGTCCCTCAGCTCTTCAGCTCAAGGTGAGTGCTCTACCAACCTTGTGCTTCTTGTGCTAAGCTTTTTTCTACTCATGGCTGATGCTCTACTGCTTGAGCCATGCCTCCAGTTTTGGTTAACTGGAGAATCTCAACGATTTCTCTGCCCAGGCTGGCTTCAAACCCTGATCCTCAGATCTCAGCCTCCTGAGTAGCTAGGATGACAGGCGTGAGACACCAGCACTGGGTTTATACTCTTGCTTTCCTGATTAACCCACGATACTTCCTCTGCTGCTAGTTGAGTGAGCAGCAACCACGGCCAGAACTCTTTGATGGCAGCCCTGGCTTCTTCTTTGTCTTTCTCTCTCAACCCACCCAGCTTCTACCTTCCAAACACATCAACATCTATCATACCACACCACTGTCGCTGCCCTGGCTCAAGCCACTAACATCTCTTGCCTCTTGAAATGGCAAGAAACCATTCTCCACACAGCAGCCAGAGTGACAGGCACCAAGTCCTCTGACGTCACTTCCGCCCTCCATCATTCTTGCACCTATTCACTCTAGCCAGATGGCCCTTGGCACTGCTCAGCAGTGACACTTCTGTCCTATGGCTTTGGCCTGGCTTTTTCCTCTACCTGGAACCCTCTTCCACCAGGACCCTCTTGACCTTCACTCCGATGTCCTCTTCTCCATGAGACCCCTGTGCACCGTTCCACTTAAGATGGTCCCAGGGGCCGGGAATGTGGCTTAGTGGTAGAGTGCTTGCCTAGTATCCACGAGGTCAGAAAAAGCCAGAAGTGGCTTTGTGGCTCAAGTGGTAGAGTGCTAGCCTTGAGCAAAAGCAGCTCAGGGGCAGTGCCAAAGATGGTCTCATCTCACAATCCTTATTAGTTTACTTGCCACTGTCTGCCAGATAAAGTGCTCACTTCACAGTGCGTGCTGCTTGATGAGGACAACCACTGTGCCTGCCTCACTGGCTGCTCCCTCCCCCCACCACCACCGACACAGGAAGAACGCAGCAGGCACTCAGAAAACCTCCTTCTACAGGTTCCTGAGCCAGGCCCCTCTCTCAGGCTCTGCACCATCAGCCCACCAGACTCACAACCATTTCACCTGAACATCTGCAAGACATGTCACATCCCACATGCTCCCCTTTGGAAGGATCGTTTTCTCACTGTCCACACAAGTCTGACCCATGCCCCGCCCCACCCCATCTCTACCCCAGTCCATTCTCCTTTCCAGCCAAGCCTGGCCAAACACCTGTGCCCAACCTACGTCATCTCCCTCTTGATCCTTTCTGATCTGATCGATTCTCCTCCCACAGCACAAATATAACCATGTGCCCTCACCCTGCTCTGCTTGGAAACCTTCCACCGCTCTGCTCCTCCTCCCCTGTTTCCCGGCATCCACACCAAAGACACAGGAACATCCATGAGCCTCTCCTCTACCCCAACAGAACACCAGCCAGCTTAAATGTCCCAGAAGCTCTTGCATACCTCTAACAGCGCATGTGCCACTCTGTGTCCCAATATCTCAAGGACCGGCATCCTACCCTTGACCCAGCTCAGGAAGGAACCACTTCTAACACTGCTCCATGCCCACTGAAGGGCCTGCGGGAGGGCTGAGCAGAGCAGCTGCTTAGTCACCATCTGTGGACCCCCTGGGTCTGTTTGAATAGGAAAGGGACGGTGGGAGTGAGCGAGCACTGGACAATGATGAGGTGGGACACCAGAGTTCCGAGGCAGGGACATTTGGGGAACAGTGGGGGACAGAGCACTCAGTTCTCCTCACATTCAGCCTTGGCGCAGATCAGACTGGCCGAGGGATAGTTGAAGGACTTGAGGATTCGGGAAACTGCCAGGCTGACGTCCTCGTTACTGGGGTATAGGCTGACAGATGCAAAGCGAAGGTACTGAAGGCGGGGTGTCTCCTCAGGACCCACCTTGATGTGGGGAATCTGGACAAAGAGACAGAGAAAGTGCTTCTGTTTCTATCTGGTTGCTCCTAGCTCTTCTCCCCCCCGTCCCCCCCACCCCCTGCTCCCCCCCCCCGCCCGGGACTGCTTCTCCTCCGTATGGCACCTCATCCCCATGTGTCTGCCTTACCTCCTTCTCCCCACAGATATGGCTCACGGTGGAGGCAGATGCTGGGCTGGAGGAGGGCCCCAGAACAGATACAACCCCCTTTGGCAGGATCTGACACACTGTGAAGGGTAGGAGAGATATGACAGAATCAAGGACCCTCTGACTCTCTTGTCATGCCCACCAGCAGCCTACCCTGATTGGAAAAGAATCAGGACATGTAGAGCAGCCCGTGGAATGTCTCTTCCAGCCTAGACCCACCAGTCTGGTCCCTGGCCCTGCTCAATGTTGTGTACAAAATGAGGAGGGATGGGGCTGGGAGTGTGGTTTAGTGATAGAGTGCTTGACTAGCATGCATGAAGCTCTGGGTTTGATTCGTCAGTACCACATAAAAAAGAAAAAGCTGGAAGGCACACCGTGGTTCAAGTGGTAGATGCTAGCCTTGAGCAAAAGAAGCTCAGGGACAGCGCCCTGAGTTCAAGCACCAAGACTGGCAAAAAAAGAAAAGAAAAGAAAAAAAGAAAAACAAGGAGGGGGCTGGGAAGGTGGCTCAGTGGTAGAGTGCTTGCCTTGCATGCATGAGGCCCTGGGTTCAATTCCTCAGCACCACATAAGCAAAAAGAAAAACAAGCCGGAAGTGCCGCTGTGGCTCAAGAGGTAGAGCGCTAGCCTTGAGCTGAAGAGCTGAGGGACAGCGCCCAGGCCCAGAGTTCAGGCTCCATGACTGGACCAAAAAAAAAAAAAAAAAAAACAAGGAGGGAAAAGAAAGCAAGACAGGGGACACAGCCACAGAGGGACAGGTCAGCCCAAGAGAAAACAGGGAGAGAAAGAGACACCAAAGTTCCATCGGGCCAGGCACTGGTGGTCTATGCCTATCATCCTAGCTACTCAGCAGGCTGAGATGTGAGGATCACAGTTCAAAGCTAGCCTGGGCAGAAATGTCACGGTGATACTCTTATCTCCAATTAACCACTCAAAAATTGGAAATGGTGCTGTGGCTCAAGTGGTAGAGTGCTAGCTTGGCACACAAAAAGGCTCAAGGACAGGGCCCAAGCACTGAGTTCAAGCCCCACAACTGACACACACAAACAGAAAAGAACATAAAAGATTACAAATCCAGGGCCTGGTTCTTCTGCCTTCCAACTTTTCATCCATGCTAACACTATGGTCCACCAACTCCTCTTCCCCTACATCAACAGCAAAGGTCCCCTGGGCTCCTCTTCTCTCCAATTACTCTTCTATTATAGCTCTTTCCCCTGCTTCCTTCACCTTCAACAAGTGTGTCTCAAGACTCAGAGGTGGGGTTGGAGGCCTGGCTCAGATGATAGAGTGCCAAAAATGAGTAAGTTGGAGTCCTGGTCTCGGACAAAAAAAAAAAAAAAAGACTCAGAGGTGGACCACTACTGTTTGTAACGTACCTGCTTCCTACTCTCATGGCAGAATTCTAACTTTTCCTGGGAGAAGTTCCCTTCCTCTCAATGTACATGCTTTCAGGATGAAATGGCACCTGACTCAGGCCTGGCCAGTGCCAGAACCACATCCTCTGCCCACAGTGATAGCTCAGCGATGAAGATGGCCTCAAAGGAGATCAGAGAGAGGCTTGCCTGAGTTTTGTTTTTTTTTTCCCCTACAATTAATTCTGGTTTTGCTAAACTAGTGAAATGTGAGCTTTGAGCTGTTGGGGATCAACTTGCTACCAGCTGGAAAGGACATTCCTGCCAAATGAAGCCAACACAAAGCAAGACCTGGAGATATAGACAGAGAGATTTCTGGAATATCATTTGCACACCTAGATCCAGCCTTTCTCATTAACAACCCTGGGATATCATTTGAGTCCCTAGATCCAGCCCTGCCTGAAATGAGAGGCCTTTCTATTTGTTCGTTTATCTGACATTCAGAGTTAACAAGCCATGTCGTTTTTCATTTGTTCCAACTGGTGACCTTAGGTGTGCCTCAAAGGCATCCAAGTCAGTATTTTAGGGACATGATTTGGTGTCCCTCTGTCTCTCCAGAGTCCCATAAAATGAGGCAAGCATTGTACCACTGAACCACAGCCTCAATTATCCCCCCCCAAAAAATCTGGGGGCTAGTACTCTACCACTTTGAGCCACAGTACCACTTCTGGTTTTCTGCTGGTTAATTAAAAAGCCTCATGGGCAGGGAAGGTGACTCAGCGGTAGAGTGCTTGCCTCGCATGCATGAGGTCCTGGGTTCGATTCCTCAGCACCACATAAGCAGAAAAATCCAGAAGTGGCACTGTGGCTCAAGTGGTAGAGCACTCCCCTTGAGCTGAAGAGCTCAGGGACAGCGCCCAGGCCCAGAGTTTAGGCCCACAACCGACAAAAAAAAAAAAAAAAAGAGCCTCAGACTTTCCTGCTTGGGTTGGGTGCAAACTGTAATCCTCAGATCTCAGCACTTGAGTAGCTAGGATTACACCAGTACTTGGCAGCTGTTTTGTTAGTTTGTTTGTTTTCTGTTTTGTTTTGTTTTAAATTTGAGATTAAAGTCTCATGGACTTTTTGTGCCCAGGCTTGCTTTGAACCACAATCCTTAGATCTCAGCCTCTTGAGTAGCCAAGAGTACAAGCATGAGCCACTAATGCCTGGCATTGCTTTCTCTCTCTTTAACTTTAAACTAGCCTGATCTAGGTTTCTGTCATATCTAACTAAAATATCAAAATGGAACACTTCATCTTGCTACAAATTTTTCCTTCTGTGCCTTCCATGGTGGTGAATGTTCTATCTACCGTTTTCACAGACCAGATGCCTAGAATGAACCTTGCTTTCGGGTTCTCTCCCGATAGCCATTAGTTTCCAATCTTTGTCTCTTCTTCATCCTCAAAGTTTCTCACATCTATCTCCTTCTTCCCAACTTCTCTTCCCTCTTCTTTACTTTAGGACCCCCCAACTCAGGCACAGAGCATCTCCTTCACTTACCACCCAAATTTGGCCTCCAGGTTTACTTTTCAGAAGCTCAGCTTCCGGTCTGAACTCATAGATGGCTCCCCATGGCTTTAACTGAAGGTAGCATCTTGTATCCTGGCACTGGTGGCCTTCTGACCTCTAGGAGCTGACCTATGAATTTTCCCAGCCTTGCCTTCCACAGCCCTGTCACACTATAGCCCAGGAGTGGCTGGTGGTCCTATGAAACACACCTTGAATCCAGCAAGTCAAGATGACCTCAAGTCCAAATCCTGTCCCTTGGCCCTAAATACCATCCCTCCATCCCCAGCTCTAAACTCCAGGCACGTGTCTGCAATGCCTCCTCACCCTCTGTCTTTATTTATTTTGTCAGTTATGGAGCTTGAACTCAAGGCCTGGGCACTGTCCCTGAGCTTTATCACTTAAGGCTAGTGCTCTACCACTTTGAGCCTCAGAGCCACTTCAGATTTTCTGGTGGTTAATTGGAGATAAGAGTCATAGAATTTCCTGCCAGGTCTGGCTTCAAACCACAATCCTCAGATCTCAGCTTCTTTTTTTTTTTTGGTTGGTCATGGGGCCTGAACTCTAGGCCTGGGCACTGTCCCTCAGCTCCTCAGCTCAAGGCTAGCACTCTACCACTTGAGCCACAGTGCCACTTCCACCTTTTTCTGCTTATGTGGTGCTGAGGAATTGAACCCAGGGCCTCATGCATGCAAGGCAAGCACTCTACCACTAAGCCACCTTCCCAGCCCAGATCTCAGCTTCTTGAGTAGCTAGGAATACAGGTGGGAACCTCTAGCACCTGGCTCTCCCCCTCTATTATAGCATCTCAGATTGTGTTCTATGATGTACCAGGCAAAAGAAAAAGGAAAAGAAAAAAAAAAGTCTAGGAAACATTTTAGTCCATTTTCCTTCTTGGTAATATGAAATATACAGGAATCAATAAAACTTCTGACAAGGCCTGTGGGGAAGAAAACTGCCTAAAAACATGTTTATTTGTGGTACTAGGGATGAAACCCTGCAACTTCACACATATAAAGCAGGTACTGTACCACAGGGGTATACCCCCCGAGTCCGAAAACATATTTTAAGGCAGCAACTCACAAAGGCCTACATTCCCAGCACATCTGTTTAAACGGCATGTATGAGCATTTATTTGGTCCATCAGTATTCAACAGACGTTTCTAATGAAATTTTTAAAAAATGTTTTTTGTGTGGTGCCAAAGAATCAAACCCAGGGCCTCAGGCATACTAGACAAGCACTCTATCACCCAGCCACATTCCCAGCCTTCAACAAACATTTCTGTACGCCTATCATGAAGCAGACCTGGATCCATAAGGCATGCTGGGAACAATGGTACTCTTTCCACATCCTGCTCACTTGTCCAAGTTCAGCTGCAATCTAGACTCCAAAACACCTTCACTGACCCACCCCTGAGCCCCCGGCTTCCTCGTATGGGTCTCTATACCCAGAGCAGACTCCTCTGGGAAGGAGAAGATAGAGATAGACATGAAGGAAAGAAGCAGATGGAGCCAGAAGAAGACAAAGCCGAGGCAGAGGGATGGACTGAGGGCCCCCGGCCTGCCCTGTCTCGCCCCACGCCCCCGCGGCCCTGCTCACTGGTGTCCGTGGTCTCGTACTGGCTGTCCCGCTGCAGCTCAAAGATGTCTACTTCCACTCGGGCCTTGGCTGGGACCTCGATGATCCCATTGATCTGCTCCCGGGCCAGGGCCAGGGCTAGACGCTCGCCGCGGCCACACACTGTCTGGTCATCCAGGATTGCAGCTGAAGGAAAACAGGAGTTGTGGAGACCAGACTCCTGGGTCCTGAGGAAGGAGGGCATGGGGGCGAGGTCCCGGACTCCTGGGCTCTGGAGTGAAGGTAGGTGGAGGAATTAAGGGTCTAGTCTCCTTGATCTGAGGCTGAACACCTGGGTCCAGGGGAAGAAGATGATAGAGGCTGGGACTCCTTGTTGCTGAAGAAAGATGGGACCCCTGCCCCTTCCAAGGCTCCCAAGAATCCTGGGTTCTAGGGAACTGGCATTCCGAAGTTCCCACAGAGGAGCCCCAGCGCCCAGCAGGAGGGGCTCTGGGGGGGAGGGTGGGGTTGCTGTAGGGCCTCACCCATGCGCAGTGATGAGAGCACCTGGCAGCTGGGGCTAGCGAAGGCGACAATCAGAAGCAGCAGCAGCTCAGCCGGCATCTTCCTCCCCTCCTCATGGGGACGCAGCTGCCGCGGCCCCCACACGCCACCTGCAGGGAGACCCCCCCCCAAATAAAAATCCAAGGAAAGGTTGCCAATGTGGAAGGACAGAGTCCCTTAGGAGGGCTAGGGGACAGGCCCCAAGACATCATTGGTAAGGAGAACAGGGCCCTGTTCTGACACTCAGCTTGCAGTTCTGAGGGCCTTGTCAGGCCGGAAACTCGGGTCAGAGTGTGCCACAGCGGGGGGGAGCTCACAGGGTTCATGACTGACAGGATGGACACTGCTAGAGGAAGATGTATATAGTTATCAAAACCAGGCTGGCAAAGGGAGGCATGCTAGAGATCTCAGGTAGGAAGGATTCCAGAGAAATCATTCCCCACCCCAACAGGAAACCAGGAATTGCCCCCCCCCACACACACCCAGTCCCGCCCCTGTCTCTGGGCAGGCAGCTGTTACTAGGCAACAGAAACCGGCTGGAGAGGATGCAGCGGTTGCTAGGCAACCCCATCCCAAGCCTCACTTGCTACCTTCCTGACGTCCCTCATTCCCATAATCCCATGGGGAGAGAGGCCTGGACATCCGGGGTCTGGGGATGGGGTGGAGGGTAGAGAAGATCTGGGAGTTAGAAAACTTCAGAAGAGAGGGAGAAGGAAAAGGACTTAAAGTAGCAAGGAACTTTAAAGGGGAAATTAAAAATAAAAGGAAATAAAGTAGAAGAGAGGTTTTGAGTTGGGAGGGGGGATTACAGACTGAGAAAAAGGGGAGAAAAGAGAACCAGCCAGATATACAAATGAACAGAAAGATGCTGGAAGAAATGAAGAGAAGCGGAAGAGTCGCAGAGAAGTAGGGACAGGAATAGGAAAGAGGAAGAGGGGAGAGACAGGAAGATAAGGAGATGTGCAGATAGAGGAAAGACAGAGCAAGAGAAGAAAAGAGCAGGATGGACTGATCAGAGGACACAAAGGTACAGGTGAGGCACAGAAAGAATGCAGAATGGAGACTGGTTCAGGAGGCAGCCCAGGAGAGCATGAGTGAGGCTGGGAGGGAGCTGCCTGCCAGAAGTGTGCACCCCACCCTGTTCTGGGGGAGATGGTGCATCTCTGCTCTCTATAACCCTCTGCCCCTCAGGGGAGTCAGACATAGTTCTGGGTACCCCAACTTTCTGCAGATCAACAATGAGGTCGAAGGAACCTGGTAAGATGCACATGCAGCTACCCCAGTCAAGGGCCATGCCCCCAAAGAAACCTTCTTTGTGAAAGGAAGGCTCCAGAGCTCACAGTGCTGGACAGGGAATCTGGCATCTCCCTACACCCTACCCAATTCTTGTGGAAGTACCCAGAGCTGAGCTGGTGAGATACCAGAATGAGAATAGCTAGAAAAAGACAGGCACAAGTCAATAGCCTCCAGTCAGCTCCCATGTCCATGAAGCCAGGAGGCCCCCTCAGTCTCTGCTCTGCCCCAGCCTTACATGACCTTGAGCAAGTCATCCCTATCTCTCTGGGTCTCTGGGGGAAGGAAGGCATGCTGGACAGGTGGGTGACTAGAAACTGTGATTGAGATCTAAGGCTGAAGCTTGTTCAGCTAGGGTAAAAGAGCAATGAGGGCTGAGCACTGGTGGCTCACACCTGTCATCCTAGCTACTCCGGAGGGTGAGATCTGAGGATCATGGTTGAAAGCTAGCCTGGGGAAGGAAAGTCTGTGAGACTCTTATCTCCAATGAACTACCCCCAAACTGGAAATGGAGCTGTGGGTCAAGCAGCAGAGTGCTAGCCTTGAGCAAAAATGCTTAGGGATAATGTCCAGGCCCTGAGTTCAAGCCCCAGGGCCACCCCCCACTCCCCTCCCCCAAAATAGCAAGGGTGGCTGGGAAAGGTAGGAGAAGGGAGAGAAGATGGGACTTTGAGAGGGTGGGCAGGAGGTGGATCATCCTGACACACGAGGGATTTCCAGGGCAAAGCAGGGAATTAAGGACTAGGGAACAGAAAGACAGCCAAGGAGGCAGAAGGTCAGAGACCCACAGGTGGCAGACCCTGGCAGGAGCAGAAAGGCACAGACACGGTGCAAGGCCAGGCTGGGGATCCGCAAATGCACACATGAAGATCTAGGAAGGCATGCACAGAAAGATAGATGGCTTCAAAATGGTAAGTGGTGGGGGGGTGGGGGTGGTGAGAGAGAACAGACTAGAATACACAGCCTAGAGGTGTCAACACTCAAGGAGTCGGAGAGCAGTGGGAGGATGTGAGAGAGAGGAGGGACAGGCCTGGGACTCCCAAACTAAGCCAAGTCAAGGTAGAAACTGAGCCAGGCCTACCAGAGGGAGCTTGCATCAAATCAGCTAATAGAGAAAGCAGCAAAGGAGAGAGAGTGGGGCAACGGATGAGTAGGTAACCGAAAGTACAAGAACTTTGGGGAGAGCCGGGAGCTGGTGGCTCACGCCTGTCATTCTAGCTACTCAGGAAGCTGAGATCTAAGGATCACTGTTCAAAGTCAGCCCAGGCAGGAAGGTCCATGAGACTTTATCTCCAATTAACTACCAAAAAGCTGAAAATGGAGTTGTGGCTCAAAATGGTAGAATGCTAGCCTTGAACACAAAAGCTTAGGGACAGCGCCCAGGCCCTGAGTTCAAGTTCCCAGGACCAGCCAACCCGCCCTCCCTCCCCCCGCCCCCCAAAAAACAAAAACAAAACAAGCTTTGAGAAGAGAAACAAAACTCTAAGAAACAAGACTATTGCGAGGTGAGAGGTGAAAAGGGGTGGAGTGTGTATTGGGGTTTCAGAAGTAGCCAAAAGAAGACAAGTAAGAGAGGCAGAAGCAAGAATAAAAAAGTCTGAGGAAGAAGCACAAAGGGGGAGATGGGAACGGAGGGAAACTGAGGCAGCTGCATGCCCCGGAGGAACACAGGCAGCAACCATGTGCAGACACTTGGGGTGCTTGAAGGGGTGCAGAAGATCTCAGGGCCCACCAGCCACAGGCATGAAGAAGGATGGGAGCAGAAAGGCCAGGTGGGGCAAAAAGAGGAGATGGTATGTGGTGGTGGGGGGCTGGGGGGAGGGAAAAGAAGGGGAGGAGATAGCTAAGGCTGAGAAGTCTGGGGACCCATATGGGGTCTACAGGAGGGAAGCTGATATGTGAGAAATGTGAGACAGCTCCTGAGCCCACAGATGGAGGGAAAGGCAGAAGTGGGAAGACAGCTAGATGGGCACGGGTGCCTCTGATTGAGCCAGAGTTCCACACAGACACACGGAGACAGGGTTGGGCTAACAGGAAAGACAGAGAAGTTGGGCTGAGAGAGGACCAAGAGACGAATCAAATGGAGAATCAAAAATGGAAAGATAGAGGTGGGTGAGATAGGATGGGGACAGGGCATATGGTAGATATGATGAAGAGAGGGGAGAGAGATGTGTGTGTGTGAGAGAGAGAGAGACACACACACAGACAGAGACAGAGAGAGAGAGAGAGAGAGAAGAGAGCGCCTGGGACTGGAACTGGGACCCAAGGCTTGAAAGCGGGGGGCAGAGACATGCTCCAAGCAGGCAGAAGTGAGACACCACAAGTATGAGCTGGTCAGCCCCACAGGACCCCAGGAAGCCAGGGACCGGCGGCAGGTGTAGGCTGCACACCCATTGGGAAGGGTGAGAAGAGGTCTCAGAGGATGGAGGTTGGGGAGATGGAGGATGTGAAGCAGTCCCCCAGTGGGGGAGGGTCCTTGCCCATTGGGGAGTTGGGAATGTGGGGCCCTGGCAGGCCTTCCAGGACCCAGCCCAATCCCCACCCTGCAGGCACTCACGGATCCTGGTGGGACGGAGGGCTGGGCTCCCTCAAGGCCCGGACGACAGCAGAGACGCTCTGTTGCTGGGTGGCGGGGTGGCTGGGGCAGGGGGGAGAGGGCAATCCGCTGGGCCCCCTCCCCCGCCGCCAGTGGTGGCCCCCAACTAATCCAACACGGTGGCTCCCCAGGAGCGGGAGAGGAAGGACAGGTGGAAAAAAAAATCAGAGGGCGGGCCAAGAGGGGAAGAAGGGGAAAGGAGAAAATGGAGGAGAGAAGGGGAAGGAGCAAATGGAGGGGAATGAGGGAGGAAAGGAGGAGAAGAAGGTGAAAATGGAAGGGAGGGGGGCACAGGCGAAGCCGGGGGAGGGGGAAGCCGGCCCAGGAAAGGGCCCCCCACCCCCTCCCCTAGCCTGGCCGGCCTGGGGGGGCCACAGGGGGTGCGGACTGGGTGGAGAAAAGGAAGCTGGCCATCGGGAGGAGTGGGGGAGGGGAGGGACTGTTGGGGGGGAGGGGGCTACCCCCTTCCCCCCTCCCCCCCCCAGAGCCTTGGCCCTGCCCTGGCTGAGCCTAGGGCCTGGAATCCTCAAGCCCTCAACCCCCACAGAAAAACCATGCTGGGGTCTCTATGAGTTCAAGCAATGGAGGGGTTGGGGTGCTGGCAGCCCGGGAGAGGGAGAGGCTGAGAGAAGAGGGCAGATGAGGTGGAGAGATGGGGAGGAGGGAGAAGAGGCTGGAGAGGAGCAGGTGGAAGAGGAAGGCGGAGGAGGAGGGTGGGTTGGGGGGGGGGGCCACGCAGGGCCTCAGGGGGAGAGCCTGGCCACAGACTCCTGGTCCCCTGCGAGGAGCAGCAGTCCGGCCGCCGGCGGTTCCCAGTCCCCAGCTGGGCCTGCCTCCCTGCTGCTGGCCGCCACCACCGCTGCCGCCACCTCTCTATCTCCCTCTCTCTCTCTCCCTCTCCCTCTCTCTCTTTCTCTCTCTCTCTCCCTCTCTCTCTTTCTCTCTCTCCCTCTCTCCCCTCCTAGGCAGCCGCTGCCGCCTGCCTGCCTGCCTGCCTGCCTGCCCGCCCGCCGCCCGCGCTGGGTCCTGGAGCGCAGGGGGCGGGGGAGAGATGGAAGGAGAGAGGCAGGGAGGAGGGCGGGCAGGAGGGAGGGAGGAAGGGAGGCAGGCAGAAAGCAAAGAAGGAGGGGAGTCAATGTGGAGGGGGAGACCAAATTGGTTGGGGCTGGGGTTGGGGGGGGCCTGCAAGGAGAATGCTGATGAGAAGGAGCTAGCCACGTCCTGTACCACACCATGCCACCGCCCTGCCCAGGCGGCACAGGACACAGGAGACCATAGAGATGAGAGGCAGCAGCATGGAGACCTGGGGAAAGAAGGCCATGGGCATGGGGAGAGAAGGCTACAGAGATGAAGATTTAAAAAAAAAAATGCAGAGAAACCCAGAGATAGCCATCCACCAAAGCATGCAAAGTCCACAAGGACAGGGAGAAAAGGGACAGGTAACCTTTTTAGCTTGGATACTAGGACCAGCTCACGGACAACAGAGCCCCTCCCCCAAGTGGGGACAGGACCTCCAAGATGAGGTTGGCCAAGCTAGTCATGGGGAGCCAGCCACAGAAAGGGCAAGTAGGAAAAGAGCTGGAGGAGGTCACAGCCACAAGGGACCCTGTCACAGACAGGGGACACTCACACAGAGAAGGATGTGTCCCACCCATAGACACAAGACGCCTGCACTGTCCAAGGAAATAGAAGTAGCCCCCCCCCCACCCATAAAGGAGGAAGAGGGAAAGCAAGTATGGGAAAGCTCCATCATCGATAGAGAAACCCCTTAAGGACCCAAAGAAGGAGGGGGCATTGGGAAAGGAGACAACACAACGGCAAGGAGCTAGAGGACAGAGGGCTGGCTGGGAGATTCCCTTCCTCCCAGGAAATGTTCTCTTAGAGAATATCTCTTAGAGGGACCCTGTAGGATAAACAGGGCAGAGGGTGTGTATGGAGATGGAACTGAGAATCGGGCGACATAGATCCTTGGACTGGGGGTGGATAGTGCACGGCTGGATGGTGGTGGGGGGGTGAAATTTGGGGGGAAGGAACATGACAGTTGGTGCTGAAGGCTGAGCCTGTGATTCACCACCACCCCCATGCTCGTGATGGGGAGGAGACACTGAGACACTCACGTGCAGTCCTCAGCACACGTGACTACATGCCTCTCACATACAACGAGCACCAGGAAGTGCTCAGCACACCTACAGGCCTGGCAAAGGGGAGCCCTCCCGCTGGCCAATGGGGCATTTCTGATACCTATGTGATTTAAACATCTGACTCTAGACGACCACCAACTTTGATTATGCTACCTCACCTTACCTGGGCAACACCCAGAATCTCCTTAACTCCCACCCTCAGCCCCAGCCCAAACTCATTCCAGCCTGTAGACCTTAGAATAGGCCACTTAACTTCTCTAAATCCAGTCCAGTGCTACCACCACCTCCAGATTGGTTCATCCGGCCTCAGTTTACCTTCGGTAGATAGAGACCTAATTAATCCAATTGAAGTTGCAAAGTCTAAGCAGAAAGATTCTAGCAGAAAGCAGCCCAAAGAGAAACTGGATCCTTAAATTCATTTATTCGGTTAGTTAGTTACAGTCCTGGGGCTTGAACTCAGGGCCTGGGTGCTTCCCTGAGTGTTTGTGCTCAAGTATTTTACCATAGAAATGGAGTTAGACTTCTGGCTTTTTGGTGGCTAATTGGAGATGAGGGTCTCATTGACTTTCCTTCCCAGAATGCCTTTGAATCTCGATTCTCAGTTCTTAACCTCTTAAATAGCTAGGATTAGAGGTGTGAGCCACTGGTTCCCAGATTGGATCCTCAGGGTTTTTTTTTGTTTGTTTTGTTGGCTGTGGGGCTTGAACTCTGGGTCTAGGCACTGTCCCTGAGCCCTTCAGCTCAAGGCAAGCACTCTACCACTTGAGCCACAGCACCACTTCGTTTTCTGGTGGTTAATTGGAGATAGAGTCTCATGGACTTTTCTTGCTTGGGCAGATCACAGACACCCTCCCCCACCCCCCCACCCCCCCGAAGCTAGGATTACAGGTGTGAGCCACCGGCGCCTGGCTCCTCAGATTTTCATTAAACCTTTTCTTTTTCTTATCAAGTAGTTGTACAAAGTGACCCGCAGATTTTTTATTTTTTTGGTCAGTCATGGGGCTTGAACTCAGGACCTGGACACTGTCCCTGAGTTTTTTGCTCAAGGCTAATACACTACTACTTTGAGCCACAGCTCCACTTCTGATTTTCTGGTGGTTAATTGAAGATAGATAAGAGCACCACTTGTGGCTTTTTTGAGTAATTTATTGGAAATAAGAGTCTCACAGACTTTCCAGCTTAGGATGGCTTCGAACCATGATCCTCAAATTTCAGCTTCCTGAGTAGGATTACAGGCATGAGCCACTGGCTGCCCCACAACCTGAGACGCTTTTTTTTTTTTTTTTTGGTGGGGCTTGAACTCTGGGCCTGGGCACTGTCCCTCAGCTCTTCAGCTCAAGGCTAGCACTCTACCACTTGAGCCACAGCGC